AGGAGTAAGATCCCTGGAAATGCTAGGAAATAAGGCAAGAACCAAAGGAAGCTGTTAGCACTTGGGTCTTACCAGCTTCTAGACTAATGTTTTTTCAGTCTTGGACCCAAGGCAGTTGAAATTTGGACATTGCCTTGAATCTTTGGGTATTTTTTTTTTTTTGCCTAGGACTCTCATTATTGAAAGTACTTATCCATTACCCTCATGAAGCCCAGTGCTCCAGAAAAAGGGCATTATGGGTTTTTCATTAAAGTTTGCTCATTATTTTATTCCAAACTTTACACGGATACAATTAGGGAAAGGGAGAAAATTGCTAAAATATTTCATTCACATGGTTGCACTAAGCTCAAAATATGACTCTTGGGATATGTATTTGTCACCTGTCAAGCTAAAGGCATCCACCAAGAGGATGTTCTCATCATTCAGCAGAAAACCAGAATCTACTTCCACAAGTCCACAACCCGATGAGAGCAAAGGTTCCCAGTACTACTCTTCATTTCTTTGTTTCAAGCTACATCTTCCTTAAAGGCAGCCACCACAAGGGCCAGCGGGACAATAATGGGGAACGCAGACATGCACCTGCCTCCTTCTGTCGCTCTGGGCTTCACCAAGCTTCCATTGGGTTCTGCTTTCTCGTAAGAGCTGTCGGCCGTGAGTCCTTCACAACAGCAGAAATTCACGAGGACTCTAAAGCAATGACAGGCTTCAACAGCCATGGGTCAAAGACAAAAACATTGCCAGTATCATCTGGATTTGTATTTTTTCTTCCCACAGAGGAGTTTCAGAGAACAGTGAACATGCGCTGGGCTGTCCCCCTTAAGGTGGCACTTTGTCCTCCCAGCAGAGCCCCATTGGTTCTCCCCCGGTGCCTCACCTACAGAAGAAAATGAAAGATCATGGCCGCCATGGGTACATAAGAACATAAGCAAAGAGCTTGCTAACAAGGCCATATCAATAGAAAGCCGGAATTTGAAAGTATCCTCTCATATCCACACATTCACCAAAGAAAGCTCACAGGTTCCCCCAAATAATATTACTTTTAGGAGGCAAGGCTAGAGGAGTAAGTTTGGAAGTATTTTCAAATTGTATAGATGTATGGGGGAGTCCAAATTTTAACTATGGTGTCTGGCTGGAGACCCCTCATGAAATTTCCTCCCTTCCCACCAAACTACCAGGACAGCCCAGATGTTCTACAAATCATTCAACTTCTGGATAGATACCCCGTTTGTTTCCGGCTTTTGGCTTTCATGAACAATCACCAATACTGTAATTCCTTCTGGGTAGATCTCTCCACCTCTGATGTCCCACAGGCATTCCAAACTCAAGGGGACTTCAGAAGTTTGCTAAATACAATTAACAATGATTGTGGCTCGTATGCAGACTGAGGGAATGTTGGCGGGGGGCACAGTGGAGAAAAGAGTGAATGAACAGCAGTTTCTGTTCTCATGGGACACAAATCCTGGACAGATGGCAGCAAAAATGCAAAGTGAGGTAGGCTCCAGTGGCTCTAGGCCAGGTACTGATGAGAGAGAGAGAGAGAGATCACATTTAACATGAGAGTCAGGAAGAACTTTGCAGTGGAGTAGTATATGCTGTCTTCAGGGCACCTTAAAGATAGGACTCTGATGGGCAGAGAGGGGAGGTGGGGAGGAGGCAGGAGAGAGAGGAGGACATTCCAGTGGGAATGAAGATCCAGATAGCCAAACTATGGAAAGAGCCCAGATGTCCATCGACAGATGAATGGATAAAGAAGATGTGGTATATATACACAATGGAATATTGCTCAGCCATCAAAAAATGAAATCTTACCATTTGCAACAATGTGGATGGAACTAGAGGGTATTATGCTGAGCGAAATAAGTCAATCAGAGAAAGACAATTATCATATGATTTCACTCATATGTGAAATTTAAGAAACAACAGAGGATCATAGGGTAATGGAGGGAAAAATAAAAAAAGATGAAATCAGAGAGGGAGACAAACCATAAGAGACTCTCAACTGTAGGGAACAAACCGAGGGTTGATGGAGTGGGGTGGGGGGATGCAGTAACTGGGTGATGGGCATTAACGAGGGCACTTGATGTGATGAGCACTGGGTGTTATATACAACTGATGAATCACTAAATTCTACCTCTGAAACTAATAATATACTATATGTCAATTAACTGAATTGAAATAAAATTTTCAACAAAGATCTGGAAAGAAGGCAGCACTGCTGTTTAGGAGATGGAGACCTAGGATCTCATCCATCCATCCTGCTATCCTCTCCTATTTCCCTTTATTCCTTCACACGGGAAGCTAAATCGGGCACTGGCCTATGTAGGAGAGCCTATTCTTAAGTTCAATTGGCAATGAGGAGTCCTTGAAAGTTTTGAGCAAGTGAGTGGCATGGTAGGCCTCTGGCAGCAGGGGGCAGGAGTCTCTTGGGGCTAGGGGACAAGTGTTATTAAGATCTGGGCTATCTCCGGCAGGCACCTGGACATGTGGATCTGGAGCTCAGGAGAGAAGTCGGGATGCTATATCCCACATCTGGGAATCATCTTTCCAGAGAGGCCAACTGACGCTGTGAAGGCCGACCAGCACCAAAAAGGGGTGGAGAGACAGGAGGTCCAAAGGCAGAAGCTTCCCAAGCAGCCATCCCTAGGTGACCCAGAAAGGAACTGAAGCTGGTGGGGGGAGCCAGGGATGGTAGTCAAGGTGGGCAGCCTGGAGGAGGACAGGGAAATGGAAGCCAAAAGAGGGGAGCTAAGGAGGCAGCTCTAAGCCAAGAGCTCAAAGCTCTGGTGTTGTTCATGCCCAAGGAGAATCAGGACTAGATGGATAGGTGGATGTAGAGACAAGGTACCTCCTCTGCCGCCAGCTGCTATTTCTCCCCGCCAGGTCTCCCCCTTGACACCGCCCCTGCTCTCATCTTGCCCTACAGTCATGCACCGCCGAGCCCTGTCAATGCCACTGTTAGACTCTCATCAGCTGCATGCACCCGGTTCTGGCCGCCCTTCCCATCCCCCTCATTATCCCTCTTCCGGGCAGTTTCATGTGGCACCAAAGCGACCATCTCCTGCCCCCGCGGTATTCCTTCTCCACTCCGTCCTGTCCACTTCTGCCAGACGAAGCTTCCTAAAGGGAGCTCAGGGTGTCCTCTGCTCCAAGACCTTTAATGGCTCCCCTCCTACCTACTGACTAAAGGTCCCGCTCCTCCTGATGGCAAAGCTCTGATTTGCAGCTTACCACTGGGGCACCTCCTACAAAGCTCAGCCGGTGGCAAACTGAGCTGTTCTCCCTAGTTGCACTCATTACTCCTAGGCCCACCCCTGCATTCTGCCTCAGACCAAAGACAACGCTTTACTCCCCTGTGAGCTGTACTAGCCCACTCGCACTCCCTCCCGGTGCTGGGCTCTCCCTCTTGTCCAACTCTGGGCTTGTTACATTCTTCTCTGAGATGTCTGTTCCTGAAGGCCGCTCTTGAGACAGGACTGAAGTCCCTCCCGGGAACTCAGAAAGGAGAGCTCGGCCCTGCAGGAAAGGGAGCCCCTGTGCTTCATGGCTTTCCTAGGGCTGGAATCTGAGTGTGGATGTGCCAGAGAGGGTCGTCAGTGATGAAGACGGCCTCTGCCCGAGGAGGAACTGGGAGGGCCAGCACTCACTTGAAGGGGCGCAGGTTGAAGACGACCAGTTTCTCTCACCCCCTTCTCTCAGTATACATGATCCGGACACCTGCCATGTACCAAGTCCCGGGCTGTGTGTCGGCAGTGGTGGGCTGAAAAGCTGGTAAGACAGAGCCCTGACTTGCAGCAGTTGCCTGTTTCCGTGGTATAAAGATTCCTACCATTGCTGATTTCCAGCTCACGGTCCCGAACACGGAGCCGGGAAGCCATGCACACAGCCCGCTCCAGGGAGCGGGACGCGGGGCCGGCTCGGGCACACCACGGCTGGGGCCGGGGCCGGGAGGAAGAGGGCCAAGTCAGTCATGGTCGTGGAGTTTGGTCTAACGGATTAGGTCACTGTTTTACTTCCACGTCTTCTCTTCTATTCCCCTGGTGGGCTGTTGAAGGCCGGGCAGGGCGGGAACCGCAGCTTATACCGGGCTGTCTACCCACCCCCCGCGGCCCCCCACCCCACACTAGGCACGGTGCTCTGCTCACGGGATGCACTCCAGCCTGCGGGGCAGGGAGGGTATGTATGCACTGAAAACAGGCCCTTGCATACCTGCCACCCACCCCAGAGGAGTGGAAGCCACCAGAAGCCACAGGTCAGCTTTGCGCCGCGCAGGGTTGGCCTTTGGTAAAATGACACCGCGGCAAGCTTACCTCAAGCCTTCTGCACTCTCTGATCCCTCTTCCCCACCCTTGCTGATGGCTCGTTCTCAGGCCTGGCCTCGAGTTTGACTCTCCGCCCTCACTGAGGCCTTCGGTGGTGATGCGGCAGGTAGGTTCTCTGACCTCCACGCTAAGTGAGGAGTCGAGACTTGTCCCTGGCTTTTCAAAGGGGCCTCCACTCCACCCCTCTCCTACCTCCAGAAAAGGTTTAGTTATCTAGGAACTATGTGAGGATTCTGGTCACTCTTGGGCCTTCCATAAAGAGGGGCCCTGATTGAACCTCTGCAAAGAGGGGTGTGTGTGTGTGTGTGTGTGTGTGTGTGAAAGAGAGAGAGAGAAACAGGCACATCCCAGGTACCAGGGCTGTGCACACCATACACTCGCAGCCTGTCACACTCACGCTCCCGCACTAGGAAGGAAAACTGCCACCCTCCCTGTCGTGGAGAGCAAAGCCAGAGGCGGCTCTCGGCCCTTGCCCGGGCATGATAATGTGACCGTCCCTGGGCTGCCCGACATGGGGATCTGCTTCCACCTCTGAGAGCTGACATGGCACTTTCTACCACAGTCATGGATCTGGTTCTTCATGAGCGAGGCTAGACTAGGCACCAGCCCCACGGATTAGACTCCTTCTCCCCATCCACTCTCCTCTTTTTTTCAATATGCCCACCACAGAGCCCACAACACTTCAAAGATCAAGGCTTTATTTTCTCTAGCTCCAGTGTCACAACTGTAGCAGCAAATCTGAGATATCCCCACACATAAACACACATTTGTCCCTGTTCCAAAGAGCTGGCAACAACTGGAGGCAGCAACTGTGCTATTTGCCCCAGGCCATTAAGAAACACTTGCTCACCCTTGTACATTGTGCGTCTTACAGGCAGGAAGCAACAGTACATTGGCATTTAACAGACACAATCATCCTTAAATAAAGTTAAATAAAACCTTATTGGCATAACAGTGTGTTGGAGATGCAGCTTTAGGGGGACTCTGGAGGACCGCGCTTGAAATAAGACATCATCATTAAAGAAAAGAAACAGAAATAGAGAACACACAGAAGGATGTAGGCCGGTAAACAGCTAGATTCAATACAAAGTTAGGAAAAAACAGTCGTGGATTGAAGCTGTATCACACCTGAGGAAAATCAATTTTCTATTCTAAAATAAAACTCTGATCTACAAGGGACTGAATCTCACATCATGGTCTGGGCGTAAGAGTTCACGCCTGTTACCGAGCACCGTACTCAAGGGGCGTGCCTGACTGCAGAGGTCACCCCAAACACATGAAAGACCAAGCACGTGCCATGATTATGTTAAGCTGGCCATCACCGGGGTGGGGCGAGAACATTTCCCTAATTACTTACTTCTCAATGTCAAAGTCACAGTTGACAACTGGACTGTAGTCTGCACAAAGCAACAACACAAACTTTGGAGCCCAGAGCAAGGGGGAATATCCATTCCCGCAAGATTAAGTCCACTTACATTTGTTTAGTGCTTCACAACTTTCAAAACCCGCTCAGATACATGGCTCATCCAGCCTCATGAAGGTCCAGGGGGGAAGGCAGGACAGGTGGCGTTGCCCCATTTCCTGGCCAATCCATCTGTACGGTGAGAGGAAAGTATGGGCAGACCTTCCAGCTCAGTCCACAGAGCTCTCAAACCCCCTTCCCGCCTCTCCTTCTTGCATCCCTTACCCAAAGGAGCTTTCCTAGAGAAGTGAACAGTTTCTTTTCTGAATACCATCAGAAACAAAATCCTGTGGTTTTTTTGCAGCAGTGTGGCACATCTTAAGAGGAGGAGAAAGAGTGGTTGGATAATTATTTTAGAATTCTCTCTAGTTTTCTTCCTTTTGCAGAATGTACCAGTAATACACAGCATGTTTTAGTAGAGGATGTAAATACTTCCCAGAGCACCAGGGTCTCTCTCCATGGCTTTTTGTACCCCCAGGTAGGACAGAGGCTTGCTGCAACTGGTTTCCCACTGGCAGAGGGTGGGGAGAGGTTCATTCTAAAGTGGGACAGGCCAGCAGCTGAGCCCTCCCAGCCCAGGAGCAAGGTTCTGCTCATGGGGCACACATGGGAGCTTCCTGATAGGGCACCCTTCTGTCTGACCTCAAAACGACTCCCAAAGGCAACGTGCAGGGTCCCAAGATGAAACCTGTCCCAGTGCCACCTGGAGTTCTTGGCAGGAGGAACAGCCTCCAAAGGAGCCTGGATCTGAGCCTCAGAGGGGTGCACTACATTGACCGTGGGGCAGGTCAGGGGTAAAGGGCAAAGGCCAAAGGTCAGGGCCAGGCCCACCAGATTGAACATACATGTGCTTCCTGCTCATTTTTAAAGGGCTCCAGAAGGAAACCGTGAGGCCATTTGGGCTTCCCTTGGAGATGCCTGGCAGCCAATCAAAGGGCGTGGCCAGGGGAAACAAGCTTGCATTTTCTTAGTGATAATCGGGCTCAGATGCACCATTTCAGAAAACAAGACAGTTAGGCCTCGAGTTCTCAGCTGATGCAGATAAGTGAGGCTGACGATAGCTCTGGAGAGACATCCTGACTTGTGCACAAGGGTCCGGGTCTCACTTCAGCGGCTGGGCTTGGCCTGAGGGTCTGGCCTCTGTCACTGCAAGGTGAGAGGCTCCGTGCCAGGTGAACTAATGGTGGACAGAGGGATGGACACATGCCATAGACATACTTGCTATGCTTTTTAAAAATCCCTGAAACCGCCCAGGGAAACAGATTTAGTCAACACACAAGAATATCTGAAGTGCCAGAGTTAAAGGCTGAAGCAGAAATAAGTTCTAGGGAGAATTTATCCCAATTGCCTGCTCAACAAGTAACAAAACCTTGGCATTTCAAGAGCTGCTGCGTGCTGGCCCAGGGAGGCAGACATCCGCATCCCTCACAAGGAGGAAGGGAATGGTGTTAGCAGGAATAAGACTAGTCATCCCAATCCTGCTGGCGGCCGCTGTCCTCCAATGTGAGCGATCCTGCCACCATTAGGTGTGCATGCGTATGTGCCTACAGCAAGAGAAAATGCCCCAGGACCGATCTTTGGTCCTGGAATTTTCAGTAAAGACAAAAGGAAAAGGCACACGCAGGTGACTGACTGAATAAAAGGAGAAAAAAGGTAGCTAGGAGTAATGTATCACTATTTTGATTTTGTTTGCAACGTAAATTCAAAATATAAACTTTATTATTTTACATTCAAGTGAAACTTCCATCTGGGGGCTCCACACAATCTTAGGCCACATTCAGTAATTTATCACTTTGGTGCCTTTTCACTTAACCCAATGGAAGAATTCAGCCCTCTACCTGTTTAAAAAAAAAAACAAAAACTTGACATTCCCAGCTGTACCACTTATCTGCACACACACACACACACACAGAAACTTCTACATAGAAAAATAAAGGATAAACATTATCCATCTATTTTGTACTGTGTACTAGAGCTTTTATATACAGAATTTTCTTTTTTTCTTTAATGCTTTCAGTCACTGCACATTTTCTCCCCTCCCTTGCGAGCTGCGATCGTAGGGCAGGAGACGGCTACAGGGAAGCAGAAAAGCTACATTCCTGTCAGGGGAGGGATGGCAAAAGCCATCCCTCGCTCCCCGTCCAAAGTCTTCCCCCACCTACCACCTCGGACGTCCCTGTGGACGGCCTTCCGGTCAGCGGCTGTCCCATCGTCCCCACTCTCTGAGGCGTCAGGGAGCAGAGGGCCCACCCTGCCGACACCCCGCCAACATAACCTCAGTGTGAGGACAAGGGAATGGAAGCAGGCAGGAAAAGCCTTTTTAAAATAAAAGATTCTGGAATCACTGCCCACAGCCTGTTCCTTTAGTACGGAGCTCGATTCTCCAGCTTGTGTTTGGTGAGAAAGTACTTGAAGAACTCATAGACAGACCAGGAAATGGCCGTGGAGGGCATCTGGTAGATGACACGGGCCTGCATGCCTTTGAAATAGCCGGGTAGGCCATTGAGCTGGTACACCATCCTGAAGGCATTGGCCATGCCCGACAGCCGGCCGCTGATGTTGGCCAGGTTGAGGGCCATGTTCTCCTGAGTGTTGAGGAGGGTCTTACAGACGTCCAGTGGGGTGGTGGCGGCTGCAGCGAGGGCCCCGGCCAGCCCGCCCGAGATGATGTGGGACTGTGGGTTGTAGCCCCGGTGAGGGTTGACCTGCTCCTGCAGGAACTCGTAGGTGATGAAGTGGATGGACTGGAAGGGAATGTTCATGGTCAGCTGTGTGGTGTAGCTCCGGTAGAAGGCCCCCAAGCCCTCGGTCCTCCAAACCGTCCAGACGCAGCGGAGGGCTGACCGGTGCGGCGAGTCGTACATCTGCATGCGCTGCTTCACAACTGTGGTCAGGGCCACCAGCAGTCGGCGGGTGGATGGTTGGGTTTGGCCCCACCCCGGGTCGGAGTGAAATGGGCAGCCAAGCCATAAAGAGAAACAAGCAAGTTTAGACACACTGGTAACAGGTCCCAGAGAGCTAGAACACACGCAGCCCCAGCCTGAGAATCCAGAGCCGCCAGCTCTGGGCTCTCCCGTCTACAGATGTGGCCCCAGGACCCGGTGCTCAGTTTCTCCTGCCTGCAGCCCGCGCAAGTGGGTCCCCGAACCAGGCAGCCACTTCAGACTAGATTCAGTGATCTGATCCCCCATATCCCGGAGGCCTCCAGCATCGCACCTGCGGCAAAACTAAATCCTGCCCCCCCATCTCTCTACATGTGTGTCCCATCTTTTATTCTCTGTATGTGGTCTCTACACAGCATTTTTAGCTTCTGTATGGCACAGCGCTCTTGGAAGAAACACTGGAATTATGTGAGCCCAAATTCTGTGACAAACCCCAATGAAGACCCTGGCTTAAAATACAGAAGTAACTGCTGGTTCAAAGGCTATGAGGCAACTGGGGGCCTCAGGCTTGAGTCATAATAGTCCCCCATGCACTGCCAAATGAACACATGCAGTGTGCTTTGCTTTACTTTTAGAGAAATGAAGTCCTTAAATCAACGTCAAAGAGAAGAGAGGGGGCTGAACCTCACTGGTTTCTCTTTGAAAAGTAGAAACAAAATTCTTGCCTGGTTGACATGGGCTAATTAACTGGTCACTGACCAGGTCCCTGGATACACTGCCTTAAACACGCAAAAACAAAGCCCACCTCTCCCAGTCTGACCCATCAAGTTCCTGAAGGTCAGAACAAGCCCCCTGTCTGCGAGGGGCTGGGAGGCAGCTGAGAGCAAGTAAGAAATGTTCACCTTAAAAGACAAAAACAGACAAACTCATAACAAAAGACTTGAAATGTTGACGTTTTACCTCTCATTTTCGCTTCTGGCAAGGGACCAATTTTTAGCTGGGGAGAAAGGTGGAGAGAGCCCTACATGTTACACCGAGAATAACCCAGCTGCGAGGATGCCCAGTACCAGGCCCCAAAGCTCCTCGCTGGGCGGACCTGAGTCGGCTAAGGACGCACGTCTGCACGGCTGACAACTGTTTTCCAGTGCTCCCCAAATTCAAAATAATAATTAAAAAAAAAAAGGTAACGTGGGAGGGGCTGGCTAAGGCAAGATGGCCAAAGGTTAAATCACAAGTAGAGTGAGGCACACATGGGCATTCCTAACACTCTCCTCTCCACATCTGCGCACGTTTGGGATGGTCCATAATGATTTCAGATCTCTTTTAAAAAGCAAATTGAACCTAAGCCCTAATGAATGGCCTTTGACGCTTCCCCCTAAATCTGTCTGGGATTGATAAAGGTTAACAAAGGCCTGTGCGTGTGAGTGTGTCCCCTGTGCGCACAGGTACACGTACACACAGCTTTTACAGGAGTGCCAAAGACCACTCAGGAAGCTTGCTAAAACACACTCCGTCTCTACCCCCCAGAGGCTCCCATTTAGCAGGTCTGGGGTGGGACTCCAATTAGCATTCCTAACATGCTCCCAGGAGATGCTGATGCTGCTGGTCCGAGGATCACAGTCCCACTCTCTGTTCAAGAGAACAGGAACAGGGGCGCCTGGGTGGCTCAGTTGGTTAAGCGACTGCCTTCGGCTCAGGTCATGATCCTGGAGTCCCGGGATCGAGTCCCGCTTCGGTCTCCCTGCTCGGCAGGGAGTCTGCTTCTCCCTCTGACCCTCCCGGCCCTCCCCCCTCTCATGTGCTCTCTCTCTCAGTCTCTCTCAAATAAATAAATAAAATCTTAAAAAAAAAAAAAAAGAGAACAGGGACACCATAAGCTCATTTAAATGCTCAGCCCCTTTTTGAGGCCTTTGCTGATGTGGTAAAGAATTCTGCTTATTCCGACTGGGGGCCGGAAGTCCCCTTGCCCAACCTTCGGTCTCCCCACCGCCCGGCCGCCCCCCCACTGTTTTTCCTGCCCCTTCGCACATCCCCTCCTGCCATTCCCTGGGACCATGAAGCATTACCTTCTGCTGGATTCATTACCGCATCGTGGAGCAGGGTGGCCATACTCCCAGCTATCCCTGCAAAACAAACTCCAGAAAATTACCCTCTGAGACTGGGAGTTCTGAGGAAGTTCCTGGAACGTAAAATCAGATGGAACCCTGCACAGAGCTTTCTAAGAAGCAAAATCTATGCCCAGCTGCTCCCAGGTGAGCACTGACTCTTCAAAACGTAAAGTGATGATTGAATTGTTGAGCAAAATGAGGACGGTAACATAGGCGCCATTGGCCACATCTTCATCCTGCAGATGTGTAATCAATGCTGGGAAAGGTCAGAACTGCTGACGGCTGATGGTACCCAGAAACCACACTTCATGGCTCTTCCCAGTGGAAAACTGTCCAGATTTTAATTCTCTCCGGTCCCTCACCTTTGTCTACAGACTAACTTACTCTGTCCTTGAGCTGGGGCAAGCAAAGGGGATGATATTATATATACAGCTAAGAGGGGAGAAAAAGAAAAGAAGTTTTAAAAGAAATATCCTTAATAAAATCCAGGCATTTTCAAGAAAACAGGCAGGAGAAGCAGACGTCAGGAAGCTCTGCATATGGCAGATTTCCAGGGTTGGTTTGCAAAGCGATGACTCGTCTCGGAGATGGCAGACCCCATCTTGAGGCTCTCACCTGGCCTGGCTTCAAGAACCAGGAACTTCTGAAGTCTACTTAAGGCCTGGAATTTTGCTTTTGGCTTTGGGTTTCCTCCCTAGGCAGGTGACACTGCCCAGCAATTAAGATTAGCCCGCTTTGGGTTTCCTCCCTAGGCAGGTGACACTGCCCAGCAATTAAGATTAGCCCCGGAAGGTGGGAGGAATGAGCAATACCAGGACAATGCTTCAGAAATGCATATAAACCCCCTTTCCCCCTCCACACACACTTACGATTACCACCAGAAAGGTCAAAATGCAACCACAGCATACATCGTCGCGAAGCAGTAACAGCACTGGGCAGAACTGTGTTCCGTCCAACCGCCTCCAAGGGTTCAGTGACCAAGGGACTAAACCATTACACAAGGCAGTTTCAGCAAGAGGCAAACCCCGAGGCCACGCACTCAGGGGACAGCATCAGAGTGTGACCGTTGGGGACTGTCTTGATAAATGCAACCAGGGGCCCATTTAAAAAAAAAAAAAAAAAAGAAATGTCTGCACACCAGCCAGGTAGTTATGATTACCAGGGTTTGCTGGTGGAAGGGTTGCTTTTGGGCTCTCAGCACAAAAAGGGGGAAAAGCTGTCGATGGTCACTCTCCCTCTTCCGTGTTGAAAAACTAGTTTTGTTAAAATAAGGACACCTTATTCCATGTCCAAACAAAAACCAACAAAAGCAAAACCCAAAGGAGATGGGGAAGGAGCCACCACTGAGCCCAGAGCCCACTGAGCCCACTGCGCTGGGCGGGTAGGAGCCGTCTGCCCCCCCGCCCACCTCCGCCCCCTCCCGCCACTCTCCCTCAAAGCAACAAAGGAAAACTATTCCAGCCCTTGCTCGCTGAGAGAGGCGACCGAGACCAACGGAAGAGAACGGGGGCGAAACCCCCGGATCCCCAGAGGCTTAAGGTGGGAAAGGTGGCCTGCGCTGCAGCAAATCCTTTGTCAGCCATAAAACTTCTTGACCTTTTAAAGCTTAGTTAGATCTTGACGTTGCAGAGACCTGTTGAACCAGTTTTTAAATAGTCTCAAAGAAGCTGTCCAGATAACTTTTTTTTTTTTTTGAATCCAGCATTGAAAAGTTTTGTTTCTATTCAGGGTTTGTTTGTTTGTTTTTTTTTTCCTAGATCTGATCATTAATTGCTTTTCAATGTCTTAAAAAAAAAAATGAAAAACCCACGCAACAATGCAAACTGAAACACCTCTGTCACGGACTTCCCCCAGGCTTTAGAAAGCAGAGGGGAACAGAAAAGCGTGTGTGTGTGTGTGTGTGCGCGCGTGTGTTTGGGTGTGTGTGCACACACGACTAGAGTTCTTTATTCGTAAGCAAGCGCGGCAGAGATGAGGCGTCAGGCTGCTGGGTCACAGGGAGGAGAACCCTGGGGAAGGGTCTGTTGAAGGAGAAAGCTCTCTAACTCCAGACAAACGCTTTCAAAATACCGTTGGCTAGGTGGCTGTTTCCTTGGTGGTGGAAAACGGCATTTAAAGTCCTTTTCATGTTTTCATAGCAGGCAAAATACATGGCGTGGGCCGGCCCTGCGCCCATCATCATCACGTTGAGGCCTCGCAGGGGCCTCCAGAAGCCTTCAGTCCGAATGATTTTCTTAAGGGCTCCGTAGACACTTGTGTACTGCGCTTTGGGATCTGGATTCAAACTCTGCATTCGTGTCTGGGGGCGGGGGCAAGAAAACAGAAACAGTGGAAGTTAACAAGGATAGTAAAGAGGAAAAAAAGACCCAGGGAGACAGTGAGAGCAAACTGTCCATTTTCAGTTTCACGGGATTTCTCGGTGAGGAAAACACTGATTCCCTCCTTCCTGGAGTACTCCCCGCCTCACATACGCACATTGGCAAGGATTCCATTGTGGCCAGCAGGGGGGGAAGGATGGTTGGGGGCAGGATATGATATAGGAACATGTACCCACATGCTGTGTGAGCCCTGAGGAATCCCTTAACCTCTCTGGACCTCAGGACCCCCCCAATTAAAAAAACAGGATGGTCACAAACCCTTAATAAACTCAGAGGCCTAGTCAACTGGAAGTATTATCCTGTGGTTGCCCCTCTCGTCCTAAAGTCTGTGTCCTCACTTATCTGAGATCTCCATGTTCTGAATGCTCCTTTTCAGCCCCCACAAGGAATCTCCCAGGCGTCCTCCAGACCTCATCCCACAGCTCCTCTACATGCATTTTACATTTTGTCTTTAGAAGTTAGCCCTTAAACATAAATGGTCCTGTTCTTAATTTCTTCCTGTGTGGAGCCTTGCCTCCTTGAGGCAGAAGCTCAGCTTTCCCCATCTGTTATCCCTGTCAGATGACCAGAGCACTTAAGTGGGTATACAGTTAATCTCGGTGTCAACGGAGCAAGACCATGGTACCCACAATGGCTCCAACTATGGCCAAACACTAGTCTAGATGTTGCTATGGAGGTATTTCTGAGATGAGATTAACATTTAAATCATTAAATTAGACCCTGAGTGAAACAGATTACTCTGTGTGGTATGGTGGGTCTACACACACACACACTCTCTCTCTCTCTCTCTCTCTCCTGGCTTGGTCTCTCTGGAGAACCCTGACTGGTACAGGAGATAATATCTGCCAGGTGAAAGACCCACCCTGGCTCAGTCCTGCAAAAGCAACAAGCATGCGCTCCTCCACTCCCCTCAACACACGCAGGCTAGGGGGGAGGGTCTCCAACCGTGAGCAGGGATACCCTTTTACCACCAAACAAAATCATACCCAAAGCTAATATATAAAATGGAAGAAGAATTCCTCTAATTGAGAATGGAGGGAGGGCCCTGGGCTCTCTTCTCACTCTGAGGCAGACACCCCCACACACACACGCCGCCCCCCCCTCCCCAGCAACCAGCAACTCCAGGGCTCAGAGGAACAGTGTGAAACCAATGATCTAAACTAACACTCATATCTGGAATTTAAGAAACAAATGAACAAACAAAGAAAAAAAGAGACAAACAACAAACAAGACTCTTTTTTTTTTAAAGATTTTATTTATTTATTTGACAGAGAGAGACACAGCGAAAGAGAGGGAACACAAGCAGGGGGAAGTGGGAGAGGGAGAAGCAGGCCTCCCATGGAGCAGGGAGCCCGATGCGAGGCTCGATTCCAGGACCCTGGGATCACGACCTGAGCCGAAGGCAGACGCTCAAGGACTGAGCCACCCAGGCATCCCAAAACAAGACTCTTTACAGAGAACAAACTGGTGTTTGCCAGAGGGGAGGTGGTGGGGGATGGGTGAATTAGGTGATGGGGATTAAGAGTCCACTTACTGTGACAAGCACTGGGTGATGTATGAAAGTCTTGAATCACTATGTTCTACTCCCGAAACTAATATAACACTGCATGTTAACGACACTTGAGTTTTAAAAAAATAAATTTTTAAAATTAATGGTCATTTTCAGATGTCACCAGCTAGTAAAAACCACAAAGAAAATGGGCACATCACTGGCAACTTGTCATTTTGCCATGAAAGGGCATAAAACAGTAACAACATGAGCAACAATCACCATTGCCCTCCATTACGACCATTTTCTATGAAAGGACATTTTTAATGCCAAAAAAAAAAAAGCAAAGACTATCTCTGATTATAAAGCTGTTCTTTAAATTAAATTTAGCTTTATTAAAAACTCCCTACTTGGGGCACCTGGGTGGCTCAGTCGGTTAAGCATCTTGACTCGATTTCGGCTCAGGTCATGATCTCAGGGTTATGAGATCGAGCCCCTCCTGGGCTCTGTGCTGGGCATGGAGCCAGCTTGTCCCTCTCCCTCTGCCCCTCCCCCACTCTCTCAATAAAACCACAACAAAACAACTCACCACTTCACCCCTTGTTTTCTGGTGAAAATGCCCCCTGGCCCAGCCCGAGGCAGCTACCCCACATCTGGGCCCACATTCCAGGGAATGCCAGGTGGGAATGGATGGGGTCAGTGTCCCTGTGCCTTTTGTTGAACTATTTTCTATTCTAACATGTTTCCAAAAGTATTCGAGGTGGCTTCATAATGGAGGATACATTATAAGCAAACAAGAGCAAGGGAAGGAGAAGGAGGGAATTTGTCAACCTAGAGGGCACCTGACGCCCCTCGGCGGGTGCTCCTGGCCAGAGTGAACCAAGTATGGGAGTGCAAAGTGTCCACTCTGGAAGAGGCACATCCGCTTCCTCAGGACTGCTGAGGCTACCCAGGGCACTGAATCCTCAACAACACTTGAAATCGCTCACATTTTACAGCAAAGAAAGTTCCGTAGTCGCCCCGACCCCCCGCCCCGGCTTTTTCCTATAATTGCCCCTGATGAGAAGCAGGGGCACCAGGCAGGAGGCGGCACAGAGCAAACAGGGATGGAACCCAGATCCCATCACTTAGGCTGTGACTCTGGGCTAGATGGCTACCCCCTCCCCGCTTTCGTTTCCTCCTGTGACAGAATGGTTGAGAAAATTAAATGTCTATGACCATTGTTACTGTTAATGACAATAAAGGATGTGGTTCCAGTTATCTAGCCCTGCAGAGGTCTAAGCTCCATGGGGGCGGGGGGCTACATCTGTCTTATTTACAGTATATCTATGACGCCTATTACAGTGTCTAACTCACACGGGGGCGGGGGGGCCCAGTAAATATTTGCTGAACGAGTGAACAAACAAATGCATGCAACTTAGGGTACCAACGGGGGTGATGCGGTACTACGTCTCTTAGTGCATTCTCCCCCTAAAATATGAGTAGCTTTCCCGGAATTACCTGTTCCTCCCACCACCCCTTCCCTATTGATAAAAAAAAAAAGAAGTCCCAATTTTGCTGCATTTCTCAAGCCCAGGGGTGATCTGCTGAGCCACATGCAGAGCTGAAGCAGCCTGTCCCTGGGACCTGTTGGTAATGGGTGGCTCCTGCCAGTCCTGTGCCCAGGGGAGAGCCCCTGGGGATGGACTGGAGAAGCTTCCTGCCTTCTCTACCCTCCACTTGGCCCCAGTTTCTGGCTTTGGGCCAGACCAGCCTGTGGTGAAGGCCTCCCTTGGGTCTCAGTGGGTAGAAACAAAGGAGCCCCTTACAAGCAGTGTGAGAAGACACATAGGACCTGGAACGAGGAGCTGAGAGGCTGGATTCTGGACCTGACCCCAGCTCCAACAGGGCCAGTGGCCTTGGCTATGGCATCTCATCTCTCTGGTCCTCAGCGTCCTCAACTGGAAAATGAAGGAGAGGACTGGAACCGTGGCTGGTTACCAGAATCATGGGGAAATGTTTAACAACGTACCTCTGAGCACCACTCCAACACATGTTGTTTCTAAACTCTTTTTTTTTTTAATTCCCCAGATGATTCTGATCATCACTCAGTTTGGAGAACCCCTAAAAAAAGGGCCCTCTCGGCCTTAGCACTTTCTAGTAACATTCTGCATCCAGCCTTGGCAGAAAGGGGGGGGCACCTGGGTTAAGTGAGGAGGGGGTGGTTGGGGAGGCGGTGTGCAGAGAAGAGGGCCAAGGCAGGAAGCTTTAGAGCCGGCCAGTCCAACCTTGTAGGTCTGAATTCCAATGCTGGGACCTTGAGCAGGTTCCTCAGTGTTGGGCCGTGGAATAATCCCCCCGCAGTGAGCTCCCAGAGAGCTGTCGGCAGTCGGAGTGAGTTGACCGTGGGAAAGGCCTGGCTGAAGCTGGGAGGCAACGATGACCACCTCTTCTCCTACCCACCCCCTTTCTATAGTGTCAGGAAGGTTCTCCCTGACAAAGCCGCTCACATTGGCCAGCTCTCAGACTTACATGGGAAATTTGGGATTGATTTCTCACCTCCCTCTTTTTAAATTAGGGGTGAGGCAGCTGGAGTAAATTTTACTGAACCAAAATGCCCCACCCCCTGTGGACAAGAAAAGGACAATTGGGTATCTCTCTGTCCCGGGGAGGGGGGGGCGGCAGAGGTCTGCTCAAAGGAGGCCACATTTAATGACACAGGGTTGGGACAGAGGCAAGCGGCCCCTGAGCACAGAGGAGGACTCAGTCGAGGCTCCTCTGAGCCCACCGCGGCCAAGCTCGGGGCCAGAGCCCCTTTAGTGCGACCTTCATTTCTTCAACCTGCCCACAGGGAGCACCCACCCTCAATCAGGCACCAGGATGCAGAAGGGAGAATCGTTGGGGAAATAAACAACAAGGAACGTGGGAGATAAGGGGAGAAGGACACAGACCCTCTGCGTGCCCCAGGGGAGAGGGGGGTGGCCAATCCGCACCAGCATGGTCGCGGGAGGGGCTGAGAGAAGCCGAGGTGGCCGCATAGTGGCCGGAGGAGTGGCCAGAGCCACCGGTGGAGATCCCTCAGTTTAGCCTCTCTTTCTTTTTCAGTGACTCTACTTGCAGAAGGTACAACTCAGGACCAGGCATTTTTTAGTGACCTGTGGACCAAAGAAGAATTTGGGGTTGAGTGGAAACCACCCAA